TTTTGATTGAAACTGGTGTTGGATGAATTACGATGTTTTTACCCTCTTAATTCAGGTCTGGAATGATCGATGGAACTTTTGAGTACAGTGATGTGAATTCAGATATGTTGGATGAAGGATTAGCACCTAATATGATTACCGTAAGTGAAGCTGAACTACGAGAACAATCCATTTCAAAAGCTAAAGAAACACCAAATGTTGAGAAGTCAGCTTCAGAGAGATTCATCAGTCTTGAGAAAATACCATCTGCAGCAAATAGTACACTCGGCGATGCACTTCCGGAAATAGAAGAATTAGACGCTGAGAGATGCGTTACAAATGCTGGCGCAGTTGACCAAAAACCAAGTTCACGTGTGCAGATACGAAATATTCCACCTTATTTGAAATACAAACAAGTCAAGGAACTCCTTTCGAAGTATGTGGAATCTTTTTGCCAAATTAACTCAGATACTGAGTTTGCCATAGTTCTATAAGTCTCATTTTTGCTTTCATGCAAATTGTTCGGGAATACTGTGTTATTTTTGATTTCTTTCTTTTCAGGCAATTGAACAAGTCCGTTGTGAAAAACATTCGACATACGGGCATAACAGTGTTTTTTTCACTACCAACTCCGAACGAAGCTGCTGCTGCAGTGCAAATTTTTGATGGTTTTAAAATGAAAGGTCGAATTTTGCAAGCCAGAATAGCACAACCGGAACAACTGAAAGCTGTGAGTGAATATCGTTCTTTAAGCTTTTAACATGACCTTCTGTTAAGTTTCCCTTTTTTATGGCTTATCAAAGCCAAAGAAGGTTATTTTTGATAATCTAAAACTAGTCCTGCAAGTCACAAGATGTTTTTGTTCATATTATGTGACTAAATAGAATAGTAGGAAAAAGTATTGAAAGCATGTCATATCAAACATGTTTAGCCAGTAGCTAAAGCCGAGTGTGACCAGCCATACTTTTTAATTTATAGAAACCGCTAAGCAACGACCAAATAAAGCGTACAGCACGCGAACGTGTAACGCCACTGGCTGACATACCATACAGTGAACAACTCGAAATTAAAATGAAAGATGTTAAACGAATTGCGATGATTTTTTTGAAAGAGATGATTGTTGCTCATGTAAATGGTGCCAACAGAATCGACATTGAATCGTTAATTGAATCTGTGAGTTCACTTGCCAATTTCTTTTGAGGTGCTTGTTACCGAATCTTCCTTTTACGTCCCATCTTATGCATGGGAGTGTCTAAAATCTTTTATGGTTTCTAAACATTTCTGGTATTGACAGGATGTACCAAATTTAGTCGTCCTGGGATTTGTTTCGTGGAATGACTGTAATTTCTAGATTAGCAAACTTGAACAATTAGGGATGTTGAAATAGGTTGTATTTTTTGTGTGATTTTGGAAATAAGGTACAGGATGTTCAGCTTAAAGCTGTAGTGGTATATTTGTCATTAATATTTTCAGATTCGTCCTTCACCTCGTATTACTGGATATCGAAATAAATGCGAATTTACAATTGGTCATAATATAGATGGTCATATTTGTGTTGGTTTTGTTGGCGGCCGATTTGCGGCTAATGAACATTTTGTAGTACCTGTGGACACATGTGACAACATATCAGCCCATATGAAACGAATTGTGGGAGCGTTCGAAAAATTGGTTTTGGAAAGTGGTGAATCAGTAAGTTTTACGCTGCTACCTTAAGCGACTTGTAGAATCATAGAGCATATTGCTCAATACTGAGTTTTTCTTTCTTCCGTAGTCTGAAAACATTCAATTGTAGGTATAATTGTCTCGGGGATCATTGTCATTTGGCTTATGATCAAAAGGATATCATTTACAAAACATGTTGTCCCAGGTATAAGCCTCATTTTTCCCATTACTAAATCATCAGTCTTTTTTCTCAAAACTATTCATCATTGATTGGATTTGGAAAAAAAGCAATATGTAGGTTTGGGCACCCTTTAGTTTTGTCTATTAACTTGTTGGGAACTAGTTGGAAGCATCATATAAGTTTCACAAATGGATTTTTGCAGCCATTCAATGAGTTTCAACGGAAGGGTGTATGGAAAATGCTTTCCATTCGTGAATTTGGTTCCGATGTAATGATGATTGTAACGATATTTCCTATGGAAGACAAAGAGAGCGAAAATGCTTTGAAAAAACTTGTGGAAGAACGATTTCTTCAGCTTGGTAATCTCTCTGATGAAAATAGTTTTTTCCGCATTACTTCATTGTATTGGCAGCGGTTAGCGAATGCTAGTGATCCGGTTATCTATGAGCATATTGCAGGTATATTCTTTTTTCGGATTTTGTTTTAGCTTTGTAATTTTAGGACAGTTTTGCAAGAACTTACACGGTTCCATAATTTTAAGTGCACTTCTTTGTTTTCAAAAATATTGTAATTAGATTGTCATGCAGTCTTTTCTGAATTCTCAATTTTAATTAGAAAAATTAGGTTTGTTTTTCTTCGGTAATCTATTGTTACTGTTTACGTTTTTCCGAACTTATGCTACTTGATATTCCATTTATTATTGTGTAAATTTTGTAACTTCAAACCGTGTAATTTTAGATACTAAAAATTTAGCCATGATTGTTATAGTTTTTTTTGCAATTTAATGGTCAATATAATATGTATACAGTGATGTTTATCTTATATAATTTTAGAAATCTTGAAATTATATATCATCAGAGTAGTATCATTTTTTCCTGGGTAACTCCAACACAGTAGTAGACAATTTATTTGTGATTGAATCATAGCTGATTTAAAAATTTTGTTGAGCTGTAAACTCTTTAATTCTTAACAGGTGCTCCTTACATTTATGAGATAATTTTGGATGCCCGGTTTCGAGTTTCCCCTTCATCGTTTTTCCAAACAAACTCTGCTTGTGCCGCAATACTGTATAAAACAATTGCCGAAAAGTGCGGTTTATGTAATGTGGATAATGCAGCTGCCCAGGAAGCAATCAATGCTGATATAGTTACTGCAGTTTTTGAAAAAGATCTCGAAGAATTTGCATACGAAAATATCGACGGACCAAAAACGAAAATAAGAAAGCTTGAGAAGGTAGTGAAGTTTTTGAACAATTTGAATTGGAACTGTTATCTTAATCTTCAACAATTTCATTAACTTCTTATCCTCTCTGTGCTTATGCAGTGCTATCTTTATTCTGGCATTGTGATTTGTTGTATGTATTTTTTCTTTTATATCTGAATTACTAATATATTTTTAGGTAGACACTTTTGAGCAGCAGGCAACTTTGATCTTAGATATTTGCTGTGGCACTGGAACGATCGGAATTAGTTTAATGAAATTAGCAAAAACCGTTAGTCGTAAATTTTTAGTAGGCATTGAAATTATTCCGGAAGCTGTTGAAGACGCAACAATAAATGCAATTGATAATAACTTACCATCGGACAGGTATTCCTTCTAAAAAATAATTTTACGAATTTATGGAGATTCATAAACTAGTGGGAGAGAAATTTTTTTAAGCCGGAATAGATAAAAGAATATACATAATCCAGATCTTGATTGTGCTGATGTCGGATTTTCAGCTACAAGTTTGTGGTTGGTAAAGCGGAAAATATTTTCTTTCGTTTGGAACGGCTATTACCATCATGGATTGATTTGAAAACAGTAAATATAATAGGTGTTATAGATCCTCCACGAGCTGGTATTCACGAAAAAGTAGTTATTGGATGTCGGGCAGTAAGTATTTTTTCTTCTGATTTTTCATACTTTCGAATTTAATAAATTTCTCTCTCTTAGAGTTAAGATGTCATTAATCTTTAAACATAAAGCATTAATCTTTGTTTAAAAATAATTGGATGTTTATCCGTCACTTGAAGGGTGACGTGTATAAATCAACTAGCTCAATGTTTATTTTCTGGAATTGCGAAATTCTGAACGATGAAACTGAATTTGAGAGAAATATTGAAGGTATATGTAGTTGATTCCACTTCTCGATATTTCAGCTTACACAGCTGAAAAAAATTGCCTTTGTCTCGTGCAACCCGTCTTTGGCTATGAAAAACATGGTTGATCTCTGTCGGCCGACATCCAAGAAATTCGCAGGTGAACCATTCAAGCTGACTTCTATTACACCAGTTGACATGTTTCCGCAAACATCTCATTGTGAGTGGGTTGTACGATTCGAGAGATAGCTTTGATGGTGTCCCATGAATCTCTTCATTGCTTCTTAATATTTTTTATATTCCATGTCGAGTTTTCATTAATTTCTGACAGTTGTATTCTGTCATTGATTTTTTGGTACTGGAAACTGTTTCATTTCTTTTTTCACTTTTAATTCGATTCTTATGAAAATTTTTCATTGCTATTGTTAAAAGTTTCCTTTCTTTGACGGTCGTTATCTGATAAGGGATGATGCATTTCGAGGCATTCAGTTTCATATTTTATTGCATATTTTTTGTACGTTGAGCATTTTCGTACCCATGATGAAGTTAAAAATAATCACTACAACGGTTTTTCTAGAAAAAATATGGTATGTTTAAATTGCTTAAGCAATATAACTTATATATATTTAAAAAGTTTCTGTATTTACTCTGTATTTTGTCTGAAACTAGTTTTCTGTTTACTTTCAAATTGCTCATTTGGTTCAGTATACAGTTTGTGTTTAACAGCTGAAATTATTTGGAAGTGGATATAGAAAGCTTAAATCCAGTTTTTGGAAAAAAGCAAAGATTTCCATCGCAAAAGACAGGATTGTTTTGAATTTTGACGGTGGAAATAGCTGGTAGAAAGTGAAAATGAGGTCGTTACTGCACTGAAAAGAGTATAGAATAGTTTGCTACTGGATGGCGACGAATTAAGTATTCGAATTTAATAGTTAGGAAGCTTAAATGTTTTGAGAACAATCATTGTATCAGGAATCTCATTAGATTTGCTCTATATATCAGTTCGAGTTCTAAATTTTAAGATAAGAATAGTGTTCTGAAATATGCTTCCTGAATTTTGCTTTCCTTTCTTTTAGGAGACTGATACTGAAGCAATCATGGCTACCATTTCAAAGGTGACTGTTAGTAATTTTATTTTAAATTAAGAGTCGGTTAGAAAATAGCTGGGTTTAGACACATTTGCATAAAGTCGGGCCAGGACATTTTGTTCTGGTATTACGGTGGAAACAGCTGGCGAGACTGTGAGATGCAATGGAGTTTTCTTTGGTGTTGTCATAAACATTGAAAGGCTTTTTATGATTCGTACACGTTAACGGAATATATATAGGATTTCACCACGAATTGCAGCATTAAAAGAGAAGGGGTAGCAGCATGCTTTCTCAAATAACTTTTAAAACAAATTTGATTTAAAACATTTCTTGATCAATTCTGGCTGAATAAACTACATATATGAACAAATCTTGCAGACTATAAAATGCAGAGCAGCGGTTGCATGGGAACCCAAAAAACCACTGAAAATTGAAGAAATTGAAGTTGCCCCACCGCGAGAATATGAAGTACGAATAAAGGTAAATTAGAAAACTTACTTTAGGGTGAATTTTGATTCGAGCAATGTGCAAAAGATGTTTTTTCTGAGTTTCGTACTAATGATTTTATTGAATTGCAGTTGGTTTGTCTAGGTTTTGTATACTGCGATATGTCATACGGATGCTTACACATTGGACGGTGATGATCCGGAAGGAGTATTCCCCTGTATTCTTGGACATGAAGGTGCTGGCGTAGTGGAAAGTGTTGGTAGTGGCGTGACATGTGTGAAACCTGGTGCGTTTTAACGTTCTGATAAAAGTTCACATTTGACAGCAGGAAAGCTCCTACTAAAATGTACAGATAATTTCTGAAATCATTTTATTTCAAATTACAGTCACTTTGTTTTATTTTGTATAACTGTCTCTTTACTTTCAAAATCGTTCTTAGTTAAGGGGATCATGTTATTCCATTATACACAGCACAATGCAAGGAGTGTAAATTTTGTCTTAATCCGAAAACAAATTTGTGTCAACGTATTCGGTAAGATTCTTTTTTCTGAAATTGCTAAAATAGAGAAGTATTGAAGTTGTCTTGCAGTGTGTCAAACTAATGAAATCTATCGATTATTTGTGTCCTATTATTCCTTATTGCTGCATGGAACTGTAAATCTAATAATTTCATTAATCTTTATGCTTTAATTTTAAATCGTACGAGTTATTTTAAACTTATTAAGGGTAACACAGGGACAGGGTTTGATGCCAGATAAGACGACTCGTTTTTCGCAACATGGAAATGCAATATATCACTTTATGGGTTGCAGTACTTTTAGTGAATATATTGTCGTGTCACAGTATTCTGTTGCAAAGGTATTTTCCATTTTCAAACTGCTTTCGAAATAAGTGGATTACAGGAAATCGAACTTATGCGAACTTTGAAAGCGTGAACTTCAAGGAATTTTGCTTAAACTGTTACCCAATCGAATTATTCCATTTCCGAAGATAAGATTATAACGGTTGATTGTTTTAAATTGTTTTAAAACATTTAAGCTAGCTATTTCATATGATTTATTTTAAGGTACCTTGTAATGCACCATTGGACAAGCTTTGTTTGCTTGGCTGTGGTGTTTCAACTGGTTATGGAGCAGTGGTAAACAATTGCAAAGTTGAGCCGGGCTCTACTGTTGCAGTTTGGGGGCTTGGTACCGTTGGGTTAGCCGTTATTATGGGAGCTCGAATTGCTGGTTCCAGGTTGATCGTGGGAATTGATAAAGATACGAAGAAGTTTGAGAAAGGTAACGATGCAGTTGTTTAGTCTTGGCAACAGATGATTTATTTTTTGGTAACTTTAATCTGAAATATATATTTAAGCTATTGAATTTGGCGCAGATGAGTGCATTAATCCAAATGATATCCCAAAGAATCTGCCATTGCAAACATTTCTTGTGGACAAATATGATGGTGGTTTCGATTATACCTTTGAATGCATCGGACTTGTTGAAACAATGGTCTCTTCTACCAGTATTTTTAATGTGTCAAGTTTCTTGGGGTATTTTATGTCATATTTGCAACAACACTCTTTGCTAGGTAGATTATTCCAATATTTTTCGAAAAGTCTTTTATTATTGAATACAGTATTTTCTGTGTGTTTTTTTCATTTCAGCGTCAAGCACTCGAAGCAGCACACAAAGGCTGGGGTGTGTCTTGTATCATTGGTGTTGCGGCTTCAGGGAAGGAAATATCAACACGTCCGTTTCAGTTAGTTACTGGTCGTACCTGGAAAGGATCAGCCTTTGGAGGTTCAGTAATTTTATTGTAGGATACAAAAAAATGACAAATGAATGAGATTTCCACCCATTGTTGTCGTTTCTGGAAGAATTCAAATTTAAAAGCAATACTGTTTAAATTTAGCGGATCATTTTGAAATAAAATGTTCTTCACTTTCATCTAAAATGATAATTAAATCACAGGTTGGAAAAGCGTCGACGATATCCCGAAATTAGTTGATGAATATCAGAAAGGTAAAATAAAACTGGATGAATTTATCACCGGCTATTACGATCTTACAGAAATTAACACAGCCTTTGAAATGTTGCGTTCCGGCGACAGGTTTTTTCTTTTGTTATTAATTTTCTTTGATGAAAATTATAAAAAGGTAACCGGACAATCTTTCAAAAGATTCTTTTGCGCTCCTTTTCCATTTGTTTGCTTATTGGATTTCAACAGCTTATCCATTGCATTAGATCTAAAAAATTATAAATTTTTCCTGTTCAAAATAAATGCTTACTTACAGCTTGCGCTCAGTCGTGAAAATAAGTAAAGTCTGAAGGATCGCATTTTCGCCATTGATAATAATAGGTATTACTGAATATACAGCTGATTACAGAATATTAACATTTTTCTAGGTACGAACAGCATCTTCTATGCGCATTAGCTTCTTGTGATAAGTACACTCAGAAAGGCATTACTCATTTTTCTTTGTCGCAAAATATTAAAATACCTTTGTCTGGTAAAAAGCTGCATCTGATGCTGTTTACCGTAATGCTCCTATTCCGTTAATTGTTCATGTCCCACTGTGTAATTGAAATTGTTTTGACATTCAGCTTCGAGCATTATAATTGTGTATTTCTAATTTAGTGTTTATCCTAACTTTTCTGAGCTATAGATTCATGAATCAATAGATACGACAAACAGGTAGAATAAACAACAAAGCGATATTGGATAAGGAACTTTTTTGGTGATTTATGAAGAAGGCTTTTCATCTCGTTTTTTTTTTCCTTTTTGATAATTTTGTTCAGTGTTAATATGTGGTAGAATAAAGAGAAATTTGTCATATTCACCTTACGGAATAACGGAAGCAATCTTAAAATCGTTTTCCAAAAATCTTAACTTTTCAATTTTCTTTTTCTTCGGGGTGCAGATATCGGATAACTCTGTGTTGCTATGTAATGTAAGCAGAGATAAAACAAAACTGTTTTAATGACTGGAATATTTAAAATTTGAAATGAATACTGAAGCCATGTCATTTCTTAAAAGTTCGTAATAGAATAACTTAATATATAAAAAAGATCAAAGAGGTGAGAGCACTGCGTCTTGATCACAGGCATGTTATCAACCGGTCGTATCTTTTTTATTTCGGTTCGCATTGAAGAGATGCTTGATATATTAGTACTGTCAGTAGAATTAACTGTCACGTTGAGGGTTTGCGGTTCCACAAATTTACTTAACTTCATTCTTGCTGCATTGTAATTGCAGTTTATCTAAGCTTACTTGGTTACATTGTTAGAATTGCAGTTTATCGTTGTACATTCCCAAAGACTAATTTTAAACTGTAAGGAAAAAAATTTTAAGGTACTCATTGCAATACTGCAGTTTCAACTCGCACAGACTAAAGCGATTGGGGTAAGGCATATTTCCATGAAATTATGTTTCTTGAATGAATTCAAAGATAAAGATAAATGAGATAGGATTTAAGGATATTATAGTATGGATGTCACTAATACTTTTTTCTGATCCTTTTCAACTTGGTCGAAAAAAGTATAATTTAATAAATGGTTAATTTCCGCCAATTTTCAAGAGAAATAAAGCCTTCAAAAAGTTTGACTGGAACCTCACGATACCGGTCGAAGCAATGGTTCTCACTCTGAATGCGGACAAAGTCCAAAAATTTATCCACGACGAATACAAAGCATGTCTTACCTTAACTATCAACTTCCTCTATCCCTCTATTCAGTTTAGTGGAAGACCGCGACAAAATCCTGTACTGCAAACTTATAAACTGCATTAATAGAAAGCCCTATATATTCCAGAAACAATTAGAAGCCGAGAGTCAAAAAATCAACCAGTCCAATAGAAGACGCCGCAAACGGCAACTCCAACATGCCGTTTTGCCCAAACAAGCATATATCGTCAAGTCGCTCAACTTCGAGTCGACCTAACAACATATTCAGTTGTCCAGCTAAATCTATATTTGTTCACACGCAATTATCAAATCAAAATCTGTATTAATCACTTTTCTAATGAACTAAATAAATGAAACATTCCTTCGACAGAACCATGATTTAAATTACAAATTTGCAACAGGAAACACGCCAATACTTTGTCAAAAAGGATAAATAGGGCAAGCAAAAAGATAGCACTTTGCTGTTTTTTCTCTCCTCTCATAGAATTAGCGGGAAGGTCATCCTCGACACCTTACTAATATTCGTAAACAACCTACCGCCTGATAACATCCGTTTAATGAATAAGCGACTTTTAAAGTTTCATTTTTCTAGCTGTATCAAATGAGAGCCAGTGGCAAGGTCTTGTAATTAATCTGGACACTGCAAGTAAATATGACTAAATTGACACAACAAATGTATAAAACAACTTAGGATAACATATATTTATGTCTTTATGTGCAACCATCAGATCTGCTCCATGGCGTAACCGACTTCATAAATGTCACTGTCGTACAAACTAAGAAATTTTATGGTAAAATAAAAAATAACAAAGCAAAATTATTCAACAATAGTATCATCTGCCTTTGTGCATCTTGTGTAGACAAGCTGACCGCCATGATGTACTACACACTTGATCATTCCTACAAGAACACAAAAACTTATACGAATCTGTACAAGTGAAAAATTAAGACATCCTTTGTCTAACTATCACTGAAATGCGGTTATCAGATCTGACACCGTAAAATGTTTTTAATCGAACAAAAGAATCAATTATTAGCAAAAAAAAAAAAAAAAAAACATCCCAATAGCATATTCAAAAATTCAGAACCATCCAAAAACAATTTTGCAAAAAGCCATATGTCACGAGACAGCAGCAACAAATTCAACAGAAATTTTTTACTAAAAGACTGCTGATCGAGAAAACTGTTCTATTCTATACTAATCCGATATTACAAATATAAAAAGCCCATTCAAAGCAAATTTCTGTTTCAATTACTTACTTAAAAGTTACATGATTTTTCATCAAGCTTCTTAATGCCCACAGTTATTTTCCAACCACATAATACAAACCTTTTGCAAGAAGCTCTCGAAGTCCTTGCTTAGCTAAAGAAGCTCGAACCTTTAGTCTTTCCGAAACTACCGATGGTGTGATAAGCTTGTATGTAATAACCTGCAATAAGCACATCCTAAACAAATCTATTAAGTTTCTGAAAAGAAAAATATCACTAGAACTTTAGTATTTATTCAAAAAATGTAATTGCGTTACATGGCAGAAATCCTTATTTGGCACTCCGCAGACTTCATTATGCTTTAACATCATCCAGCCATAACATCCTTTATATAGCGACATCATGTAGGCTTTTAAGATTTTTTTTAAGAAAAATTTTCACGAAAGAAAAGAAAAGAAAGTGAAGTTAAAGTATGACAAAACAGCTTCAAACACATACTTCTTTATATAGCTTTTCATAAGTTGCTTTGTCAAAGAGGACCATATTGTTCAACTTATCCCGAACCTTTCCTTTGGACCACTTCTTTTTCTTAGCTTTACCGCCTCCTCCACCTTCCTTCTTTTTAGGTGCTTTCGCCACGGTTTTCGCATCACCTTTTCCACCTTTTCCAGCTTTCGCTGATGTTTTTGGAGGCATGATAGTATAAAAATCCTGGGATGAAAGAGTAGAAAAGTCATTTTCAAGAATAAAATGGTACTCACTTCATATTACTTGCTATCAGTTCTTCTATTCCAGTTATTCACTTACCTTCTGATACATAAAAATTGCAAAAAAAAAGCATTTGTATCTCGCTACCGTTCATATCAGATCTCCGTTAAACCCAACCAAGCTGTGAAGTAACTTAATCAATAAACAACCTTCTGCAAACACACAGCTAATAAAAATGATGGCTACCTTATCAACACCAGGTACCTCAGCAACCACCTTGTACAACAAGACAATGGCACCAGCACCCACACCAGTACCACCACCCACACCCAGCACGGAATTTACACTCCCAAGCACGCACCTACTGTAAGTCACAATTGTGGCCCGTTATGAAAGTTATCTCCGTTATGAAACATGTGCAACCCTCATAGACAGTAGGAGGACTCGGAGTCGTTTAGTAAAATGAAAGTGTTATGATGGTAGGAGGTGGGGGAAATGGCAGTGCTCAGGTAAGTATGGCGTTTCTTGTGTGGAAACACAGTTTCATGGCACACATTGATAGGCAGTAATGTCTTAGTTGCACATAAATCAAAAAATAGCTAATATCTTACGGTAACCTTTATGGCAGTTATTTCAGACATTTATTTATTATGTCGTATGCTTCTCATGCATAAATATCCTTTGACACCTCATCGTATTTATTGGGAAAAGAATTAGGAAATAAAAAAAAGTGTTGATTCTTTCCATCAAATATCTCTGGTTTCCTTGTTCAATTTATGTATTTTTTGTTGAACTATACTTAAATTTTAAGGATATTATTATCATTGTCAGTTCTATTATTATCATTACCATCCTTGGACGCGTTGCAAGTGCTTTATACGTGATTTTTTCTCCTTTCACCTAGTCAAATTTTGTCTGTGATACTATTTTGTAATTGGCAGTTAATTGATATATTTGCTAAATGTAGCATGCAGGAATTAAAGATGTCTTGTTAACTGATTCACTTATCATCGAATTGAACATTTATTTAAATAAATTTATATAAAAACTGGACCAAATATCCGCCAGTTGCATATCGCGTTTCCAGATCCCGGATTGTACACGTGGGCATTATCGTGTTTCAGGTGTGATTTTTCATCTTGTTATTGCTGTAAAGATTTCGGGAAAAGAATACACATGCAACTAGTCAGAATTATCCTTCAGAACTATCGTTTAGAATAAGCGAATTTAATTAAGGGAACAGATTTGTATGTATATGGTTATTGATAAATCGTCCTTTACAATTTAAATCTTCTTGGAACCAGTTATTAATGCTATTCAATTTTATAAATCTTGATAAGGATGTATGACTTCACCAGTTTTTGTTATTTTTTCTACTTATGAAATTTCAATTTTACAATTTGTGCTTTCCTCCGTTGCAGTGTTGACTGTACTAGTTTTCATATCCCAAGTCTAATGCATCATGGGATGTACTATGTGATGATGTTATTTATTAACCAGTTAGCGGTCATATGATTTAAACCGCATAGAACGATTTGATGCTTGACATTGTCAGTCTTTTGAAACCTTCCTTCTTCTATTCCTTTCGTTGTGCCTGAACTGGAAATCCTTCTGGCGGTCTTTATAAATCCATTAGTTTTTTTTTTTTCTTCTAAAATTCATCTTTCAGTACGCATTAGATGTGACATATTTTCTGTTTTATATTGAAATCATACTAACAGTACAGTTTAGAGGGGGAAGAAATGGCAGTTTGGGAAGAGTATTTGGCAAATCAAGTTAATATTGATGGCATCCAGATGACGTGGAATTTATGGCCACATTCACGAATCGATGCGCAAAGACTTGTTGTGCCTGTTACTGCTTTTTTCACTCCTCTCAAAGTAAAATCAGTCCTGCCACTTTTATCAGAATGAAATGGAAAATTTTGGAATTATATTCTAGTATTTACCTTAGATAAGCT